AATGTCCTCTATCATAAGGTGTAAGTTTCAGCTTAAGTACATCCACTGTGCCACATGACACACACACACAATAATCACTGCTTTAAAAAAAAAAAATGGCCATTGAATAGATCCAACTCATGGTGATCGCACGTGTTTCAGGGTAGAACTGTACTCCATAGAGTTTTCAATGGCTATTACCTTAAGGAAGTAGATGATTAGGCTTTTGTTCCTGCTGGGTGGATTAGAACTGCCAGCCTTTCAGTTAGCAGCTGAATACAAACCATTTGCACCCTCCAGGGTATATATTTTACACAATACTGAATCTTACTTCTTTCTCTCCTTTTCTCTTCTACCCCTGCCCCATGGCTTAGAGAAGATTATGTTTTTTTTGTAAATTATTCCTGTCTATACTTATTTTTTAAAGGATCCCTGGTTTAAGCTCTTGGCTACAAATCAAAAGGTTGGCTGTTTGAACCCAATAGCCACTCCACAGGAGAAAGATAAGACAGTCTGCTTCTGTAAAGATTTAAAAAACCTTGTAAATTCTATAAGGCAGTTCCACTCTGTCCTACACAGTGGCTATGATTCGAGTCAGAATCTACTCAACAGCACTGGTTTTGGTTTTGGGTTTATATTTATTTTTACCTTCTGGACAAATGATAGGTGCTCTGGTGGTGTAGTGCCTAAGGCAGTTGAGTGCTAACCAGAAGGCTGGAGGTTCAAACCCACCAGCCACTCCTCAGAAGGAAGACTGGGCAATCTACTTCTGAAATACCACCTCGGAAACCCAAGGAGGGGTCGCTATGAGTCGGAACCGACTCTACAACAGTGAGTTTGGTTTGGACAAATGATGTGGTATTTTTTGGTCAGTCTCTTCAAATTGGTTCTCTGCCCCCAGCTATACCCATTTCCTCTCTGTTTCTCTCCACCCTTGTGGACAGGATCCTTTAATCTTAGTATCTCAAATCCTATACATATATGCTCAGAAGTTGCCGCTATCACCATCTCTCCTTGACATGTTAGGTTCTTTAACACATATGAGAACTGAGGACACAGTCAACAGCATCCTGATTAGGAGTCTCCTGTGAGACAAATGTGGTAGTTAAAGGTTATGTGTCAACTAGGCTAGGCCTGTTTTGAGTGGCTGAGCAGCTGGATGTAGTTATTCCCCATGGTGAGACTGGTAATTGACTCCATGATGGAATCTGCTATGAGCAGCAGAAGTTTTGAGAAAGGCCTCGGCAGCTTTTGACACACTTGAATCCTGCATGTAGCTGAGTCTTCATTTAGCAGCCTGCCATGTTTCCTGCTGATCTTGGGACTGTCTCTGGACTTGAATTGTTATTTGCTAATATTGAGACTGTGTCTTTTTACTTGTTGACTTTGGGTTTATCAGCCTCTGCAGCCCACAGCTGCCTGAGTTGAGAATAGCCTTTAGCTTCAGTGGGCCTGGAGCAAGAAGCAAAGGTGAAGCCCAAGGTCAAGGGACTTTCACCCAGCCCTAGAGCCTGGTACTTTGAACTCAGATGTCTAGCCTCCAATACTAAAAGGGAATAAACTCTTGTTTGTTAAAGCCATTCCACCTGTGGCATTTTCTGTTAGAGCAGCATGAAGTAACCAAAACATCAAATCACAGAGAAGCACAGATCACTGTCCATGTGAGGGACCTGGAGAGAGTCAGGACAAAAAAAAGCTGGTCTGTGAGTGCTCCTGAGAAACAGGCTCAGACCAATTACAGAGGGTGTCTGTAACCTTGCAAGTCAGGCCTGGTCTTTTTCTGGACTAATTACTTTTTAATGGGTGGTAGAGGGTGGTTTCTCTTTCTGCAAAGAGCTTTACAGTAAGTGCTTCTAGCTGATTCATCTTCCGTTGCCAGATCACAAGCACATCTGTCCCTCCGCCAAGTTGATGGGAAGAGAACATTTAAGACTGCTTTCAAATAAGAGAATTTCCCATGAAGGACTTGAAGCATCTCTCTGATCCCAGATACACCCTCTCTTTATAGTCCTGCTTTCATGCAAGTCTCTGCCTCAGAGCTTAAGATGTCTAGAACAACAGAGGCTCCACGGCAAGGCAGGGAAATGAGAAGAGAACCAAAGGCATTTGCTCCTGAATGGTAGAAAACACTCCTTTTTAATCTTCTGTCCAGAGGAATCTCACAGAGTTTGGCTGCTCCCAACTCCTCCCCTGAGGTCCTGAAACACATCCACCCTCAGATTAGCTTGCAGATACCATGCTTCCAGGGCAGACCCACTAGCCACAGACATAGGACATGAATTCTCACTGCCCAAGGTGCTGTCCAGCTCTAATATCTCTATGCCTTTACAGATGTTCATACACAAGAATCTCACCTCCAAGAATGTATCTTAAGCAAATATTCAGCAAAGGCAAAAAGTGATATGCTAGAAGATGATTTACATACTATCATAACAAAAAACTGGAAATGATCTAAATTTCCAAGAGTAGTTTAGTACATAAAACCATCCCTTTGCCTCTGAGTGTATTCCAACTCATGGCAACCCCACATGTGCCAGAGAACTGTGTTCTGTAGGGTTTTTAATGGCTGAGCTTTCGGAAGGTGATCACCAGGCCTTTCTCCTGAGGCACCTGTGGGTGGACGCAAACCTCCAGCCTTTCAGTTAGCAGATGAGCGTACTAATCATCTGCAGCACCTAGAGACTCCAGTTAGTAGGTAATGGTATGTGAGCATAAAGAGGTCTTTGAATTATGATGTTGGTGAAGACTATTGAATATACAAGGGAATTCCGGAAGAACGAACAAATCTGTTTCGAAGTACAGCCAGAAGGCTCCTTAGAAGTGAGAATGGCGAGACTTTATCTCATATACTTTAGATGTGTTATCAGGAGAGACCAGTCCCTGGAGAAAGACATCATCTTGGTAAACTGTTGTTATTGTTGTTATGTGCCGTGGAGTCAGCCCTGACTCATAGCGACCCCTCCTTGGGTTTCCGAGGCAGTATCACTACGGAAGTAGGATTGCCCAACCTTCCTTCCGAGCTTGGTAAACTAGAGGGTCAGCAAAAAAGAGGAAGCCTCTAAATGAGATGAGTTGACACAGTGGCTCTAACAATGGGCTCAAACATGGCGATGATTGTGAGGATGGCACAAGACTGAGCACGTTTTGTTCTGTTGTATGTAAGGTCACTGTGAGTTGGACAGACCTGATGGCACCTAACAAGAAACATGATGGAATTAATTGCACCATTAAATGCTAATTTACCTGGCTATACATTACCACTGCATTGTGAATAGTTGTTGTTATTTGATGAACACTTACTGGAGCCTAGGCCTCACTCCCAGAGAGCACGTTTCAACTGTTTGTTGTGGGGTCTGAGCATTGGTGTTTCTTTTGAATCTTCCCAGTTGATACTGATGTGCAGCCTGAGCTGAAAACTACTGTACTGTGGTAGATACATTGATGGTGCTAACAGGCACGAGAGCCCCATCTTTACACATCTCCTGAAGGTGCATGAACACAACAGATCTGGTACCCTATAAACAATCCCCTTCCCCAGTTGGTAGTACAGGATGACACTGCTTATCTCTGTTTATTGCAGGAGTATTTTTTAGGGTGTTCTGGTTATTTGTTGCTGCATAAAAAACCATCCCAAAACCTAGTAGAGTAAAACAACCACTATTTTATTATGCACACAGATTCTGTGATTCAGAATTTGAACAGAGTACAACAGTGATGCCTGTCTAATTTTCCACAATGTCTGGGGTTTCAGCTAGGAAGATTAGAATCCAACTGTCTTCTGATTGGGAGCGCTGGTGGTGTAGCGCCTAAGGCATTTGACTGCTAACCAGAAGGCTGGCGGTTCAAACCCACCAGCCACTCCTCGGAAGAAAGGTTAGGCAATTTATTTCCATAGTGATACCGCCTCGGAAACCCAAGGAGGGGTCGCTATGAGTCAGATCCGACTCAATGGCAATGCGTTTGGCGTTGTTTTTTTTTTGGTCTTTTGACTGGGGGCTGAAATTACATGAAGATTTTTTTTAATGTACGTATCTGGTACCTGAGAAAAACCAAAACAACAATAAAACCCATTGCCATCAAATTGATTCTCACTCATAGCCACCCTTTAGGGCAGAATAGAGCTACCCCAAAGGGTATCCAGGGCTACAGATCTTTACAGAAGCAAACTGCCTCATCTTTCTCCCATGGAGGAGTGACTGGTAGGTTTGAACTTTTGGTTAGCAGCTGAATGCTTTAACCAGTACCTCAGCAGAGTGCCTCAGTACCTGGGCTAGGATGACTTAAAAGATAGGCCCAGCTAAGACATGGACCAGAGAACCCACATCTGGTCTCTCCTTGTAGCTTGGGCTTCCTCAAAGCCTGGAGGCTTGTGATTCCAGGAACAAATGGGCTGGTAAACAAGGCAGAGGCTAAATGACCTTTTGGACCTAGCCCTGGAAGTCAATAGCCTTACTTCCATTTTACTCTATGGTTGAAGTAGTCACAAGCTGACCCAGATTAGAACTGATAAGATTTAGTGATGGAGTGGAAACAGGGGTGAAGAAGTAGACTGTAAAATGCTGATGCTGTAAAGCCATAAGGTATTAATAGAATACAAAAATACATGTATATAATAATCACTATGCATATAGATGAGAAGAAGTAAATGGAGCATGCAAAAATGAAAATTTTTGAGGTGGTATAACATGCTATTTCATAATACCATGTATTACTTAATAACTTCAACAACTCTTGTTAAACCTCTGTAACTAACTATCCACCAAACCTGTGTAACAACATCCCTGCAAACCACTGTTGGTCACTGGACCGCAGCATAACTTGAGTAGTGAGGCTGCTTTCAGGTACCACATTAAGAAATCACCCTTGTTACTCCATATCTGAGTCAGAGATGCACAGTGCTGAGATCCCAGTTAGAGATCTGTGGGGTTCACTAGGCCATTAGCATCACAGTGAAAAGATGGGTCACAGGCAGGGCCCTGCCTACCTTGGGATCTAATCTGTCTTCTTTCCTTTCCATTTAGGCTTTTGATATTATGAGAGTGACACATGGCAGAGAGCACAGCCTGACTGAAGATTTGATTCTTCTCTTAGAAGAATGTGACGCCAACATAAGAGCATCATCCTAAGGGAGCCCAGTAAGAGGGCAAGTCAGCTGTCCCTTGTCCTGAATGCCTTACGAGACACACAACTCATACTTTGTTTGCTGTGTGAGCCTTCCCTATTGGAACTGCTATTCTGTGTCCATGGAGGTATCAAAAGACAGACACATCGTTTGTAAACAACAAGAACTCTTAGCTGTAGGGAAGCACAATTACAATAAATACAAAAGAATTATTGAAAATGCTACCTGGTAATTGTTTTCTTTGCTTATTTTAATGTTTATCATCTCAATATTCAAGACAGAAAATCCTATTAAAAGCTTGATAGTATAACTTGCTCCTTAGATGTAAGTAAGGATAATTGGGTAAAAAGAAATATTTTCACAATTGCTTCCAAGCAAAATTTAATGTCTGTCTTGGCAAGAAGCAGAATTTTCAGACTTTGTCTAGTATTCATTGGAAATGATGTGTGTGTTCATTCATTATTCAATTCCAAATACATCTCTAACACAAGTTTTATCCTAAATCCTAGAAAGGATAGGATTACTATAATTGTTAATTGCAGTTGAGCCTGCTCTGACTCATGACTACGCCATGCACAAAAGGTTGAAATGTTGCCCCGCCTTGTGTCATCTTCATGATCATTGGTGTGCTTGAGTCCAATGTTGTGGCCACTGTGTAATTTGAGTGGCTTCCAACTGAGGGAGCTCATCTTCCAGCACCATATTGGACAGAATTCTGTTGTGATCTATAAGGGTTTCATAGACTGATTTTCTGTAGTATATTGTCAGGCCTTTCTTCCTAATCTCTCTTAGTCTGGAAACTCCACTGAGACTTGTCCACCAAGGGTGACCTGCTGGTATTTGAGATACTGGTTGCATAGATTCCAGGACCACAACATACAAGTCACCATAGTATGACAAACTGACATATGGGTGGATAGCTTTTTGATAGGAGCTACAAAGTCCCATTGCAAAAGTACAGATATAGGGAAGTAAAGAAATTGTGACCATTTATGCAGTCTACCATACTGTTGTTGTTAGGTGCCATCAAGTTGTCTCTGACTCATAGCAACTCTATGTACTGCCTGGTCCTGTGCCATCTTCATAATTTTTGCTATGTTTGAGTCCATTGTCACAGTCACTGTGTCAATTCATCTTGTTGAGGGGCTTCCCCTTTTTCACTGACGATCTATTTTACCAACCATGATATCTTCCAGGAACTAGTCCCTTCTGACAACATGACCAAAGATGAAGTCTGGCCATCCTCACTTCTAAGTAGCATTCTGGTTGTACTTCTCCCAAGATAGATTTGTTCATTCTTCTGGTAGTCCATGGTATTTTCAGTATTTTTTGCCACCACCACAATTCAAGGCATTGATTCTTCTGCCATCTTCCTTATTCATTGTCCAGCTTTCACATGCATGTGAGGCTATTAAAAATACTATGGCTTGGGTCAAGTGCACCTTAGTCGTCACAGTGACATCTTTGTTCTTTAACACTTTAAAGAGGTCTTTTGCTTCAGATTTAACCATCTTTGTCAACCTTTTGGGGGCTACAGGACACTTAGTGAATTTGATAGAAGCCATAAACCATCGTTCTAGAAAAACATGCATATAAGCAATTTGATTTTAGGATCAGGGATTCTTGGCCTCCCTGGGGTCTTTTGTCTAATGAAAAAATAGGCTTGCTACCTTTCAAGTGTATGGGAATTGTATCAAGCATTCATTTTAAATTAATCAGAGGGGGAAAAACACAACAAAATGCAGGGGCAGTAACTTACATGCCATATGAACAGAGTTCATAGGAAGAACCCCATGTTTGACAATTTTCTGAATAGAATTTATCAGTCAGTGATGAACCTGGATTAAGAGATTTGCCTTCATGCCTTCTAGAGAAAGCATGATAGGCTTTTAAATCCCTCTCAGTCTGCCTCCAGATTTTTAAGAAGGTTCTGTTTGCATCAACTTTTAATAGAAAGCAAGCTTTTAAACAAAGGTAAACATTTACCAAACAACTTCACAACAAAATAATTTTGGAGAGGGGGGAAGGGCAGGGAAAACATAATTTAAAATCCATGTCACCAGTCACTGACGATTTATTGCCACCCTAGCCACCATGACTGCATTTTCATTAATCCATAGTCATTGTAGCGGCAGGCTTTTTTCACATCAGTAACTTGACGCCATTAGTTGCTCCTCTGGGATGAGAACACATTCAAACTGAAAATGAACACGCTGGGTGTAATTTATAGCCATGCTATATGAATGCCAAGAGTGTGGGGGAAACAGGCTGCCTGGGAAGCCTGCTCACTATGTGAGCTCAGGACATACTTCCTCTAGCCAAGCAAGAGTTCTGGGCAGGCAGGGAGGGCGGCCGTACCCTGATGAAGCCAGACAGCCACAAACCACAGAGGCCCCTCACTCAAGCTACACTATGGGATGAAAGAGAAATTTCATACATGGGGCCCTCCCCTGATTTATTTCTTGGAATTTCTTTTCTGGTGCAATCAGAAAGAGATGTTACACTCACTTAGAGGAACTGAATGAGATTCCATGGGGAGAAGATTCTGGGCATTATCTGTGAGGTATCATGAAATTCTTAGGACAAGCAATCATTGATGGGAAGAGTCAGGAAAACATCAGAGCCCTCCTTTTCCCTATGGCCTATATAGTAGAACTAAGAGATCAAACTGGTTGAGAAAGAAAACCAACACAACTACCCCCAAACTGGGATACTAATTAACCTTTTTGAGATTTATAAGCTTAAAAAAAATATAAATGAATATGTTTATTCACAGATAACATATTCAAAATTAATTGAAAACATATTTTTTTAAAAAAACCACTTCATACTTAAATATGTTTTTCATGTTTCAGTCACCCCCAGAAGCAGCAGTAGCAGCAGCACCCTTCAGGAGAGAAAGTCAAGAATCATTGCCTCTCCCTTCTTCTGTCTTTTCATTCTCTTGAAGTCTTTGGGTGGTGCAAGCAGTTAATGCACCCAGCTACAACCAAAAGATTGGAGGTTTGAGTCTACCCAGAGGCACCTCAGAATAAAGTTCTAGCAATCTACTTCTGAAAAAATCATTCATTGAAAACCATAGTAAGATCTTCCCAGATGGCAGAATATGCAGATAAGCTACCCAGTCCCTCTACAACAAAGAAACTAAAAACCAATTGAAACGGACACAGAGGAAAATCCTGGAACCCTGAGATTTGAAGGGAAGGATAAATAAGTAGAGGAGCTCTGGTAGCATAGTGACTAAGACACTTGCCTGCTAACCAGACGGCTGGCAGTTCAAACCCACCAGCCACTCCTCGGAAGGAAGGTTGGGCAATCCTACTTCCGTAGTGATACTGCCTCGGAAACCCAAGGAGGGGTCGCTATGAGTCGGGGCCGACTCAATGGCAAAACAACAACAACAACAACAACAACAACAACAAGAAATTGAAGGAAAACAGTGAATAAGGAGAAAAACGGAGCTGTGGACAGTGACTAGTCTGATGGTGCAGCTGTTTTGGATATTTGCAAGAAGTCTTCAGATTGGGGCAACAACCTGATAATAAGCTCTTGTTGTTGAAGACTGCATGAGCAACTACACTGGTGGCTGGCAAACAGAAAGGAACTGTGACCAAATGACCCAACCAAATCTGTACCTCTGCAACCACACTCACTAGGCAAAGCACCCCCTGCTTTTGCACCAACTGACCAACAACAGACAATGGCCAATATCAGCCCAACCCACCCCCAACTGCTCTACATGAACAATTAATGACAGAGATCTGTGCACACATTCCCATCCTCTATCACACCCACCAGGAGACAGGTGGTGAATGCCTAAGTGCAGCTGAACTAGTGAATAGAGTAGCACACAAGCCGTACCTACCTGGGTAGGTATATATATATCAAAACAAAGCAAAAAAAAAAAAAAAAACCATGAGATCACAGCAATATAAATAACTAATTAAATGTAAACACAAAAACATCACAATGTCTAGGAGACAACTGACAACCTCAGTTCACACAAAGAAGCAAGATAAAGTAGTACAAACAACAGAGTAGAATAAACAAACAAAAATCAAACCCACTGCCTTTGAGTGGATTTCGACTCATAGTGACCCCCATTGGGTTTCTGAGGTGGTAAATCTTTATAGAAGTAGATTGCCAAGTCTTGTTCCCATAGAGTGGTTGGTGGGTTTGAACCACCAACCTTTCTGGTTAGCAGTCAGATGCCTTAGGCACTGTGCTACCAGAGCTCCTCACAGACTACAATAGAGAGCAAGAAAACTTCCCTGAGGAAGAAGTGGCATTGGAACTACCTGATAAGGAATTCAAAATAATTATTTTTAGGTACCTTCAGTGGGCTGAGAGACAGACCAAGGAAATACTGACAAAATCAAGAACTCTGACAAAATTAAGAAAAACACAGACAGAACTCTAGAAGAATTTAGGAAAACAATACAAAAACAAACTGACAAAGTAAATAAAACTATACAAAAACAGCAAATAGAAATCCCAGAAGATTAAAACTAAGATTTCAGAAATAGATAACACATTGAAAGGTCAAAAGAGTAGCATCAAATCAATGGAAGACAGAATTAATAAAATAAAAGACAAATCTATCGATACTACTTTGTTAAGGGAATAATAATCAGGAGAAAAAAAGAAAAAGAAAAAAGCCCAAGATCTTTGTGGGACACCATCAAGAGAAATAACTTATGAGTGGTCAAAATTCCACAAAAGGAAGAAAGAAAGAAAACCATAGAGAAAATTGTTGAAGCTTTGTTGCAAAAGAACCTCCCTAATATAAAGAAACACATCAAGAAGTTCAACGAACCCAGATGGGATAGACCACTAAAGAAAATTACCAAGACATATCATAATCAAACTCTAAAACTAAGGACAAAGAAGGAATCCTGAAAGTAACACAGGAAAAATTAAAAGTTACCTACAGAGGGCAACCAATAAGACTAAGCTCTGATTTCTTGGCCAAAACGATGCAGGTGAAAAGGCAATGGGATGACATATATAAAACCCTGAAAGAAAAACAAACAAACAAAAACTATGGCAGCCAACAATAATATCCAGCAAATTTGTCCCACAAATATGATAGTAAAATTACATTTCCAGATAAACAGAATTAAGAGAATTTGTAAAAACTAAAACAAACTTAAAAGAGACAGAAAAGAGGGGACCTTCAGAGAAAGAACCAACAACAGAAGACAGCAACCTGTGATTAATACAT